CAAATGGAAATGATGACCAATAAGTATAACACGCTGAACTATTTCTTAGTGCAGGAGGTGTAAAACAAAGTCTTCCAGCGGCAAAGATAGACTGTTACAGGCACAGCTGGCTTCAAACTGGGTTTCACCTCTTAATTTCAGAAAATTGTGGAGAAGTTTCCTTGCATTTGAGGGTAAAGCTGCACTCCTGGAACTGAACTGTTGCCCAGGTACTGCAGTAGTTTCTGATGGAGGAACCCCCCAAGCTACCACAGCAGGGAACAGGAGAAGACATGAACAGTAATAAAAAGGGAGAAAATAAGAAATCATGGAAAGGACAGAAGAATGAACGCCGGAGACCTTGTGAGATACCTGAAAAGAGAAAGTACCATGGAAGAGACTTCACTGCTTCAGACTGAGCAGGACAAGCACCAGGGGAAGAAAACAGCCTCCCAAAACAAAGCAGGGGTACAAGAGGACATGCTCGTCAGCAATAAAGTAGGGTGAAATGTTAAGGAAACCTCAGTGCTGGGTGATGAGAGGAGAATACTAAAGTAGGACCCTGGAAGAAGCTGAGTCATCCCCCAGCAATGCTGGAGGAGAAACTGCTGGGCTGAGGGAGGGAAGCCCAAACCTGCACCCAGACCAAACCTGTCCAAGCAGACCGACTGACAAAGTGGTCAGGGGAACCTAATGCTCTGACCCACGTGCAGTAGCCTTTGAAGACAGAAACCTCTGCTTCGTCTGACTGGATCTGTATCTGTTAAAGGCGTAACTGCCAGCAGCCCAGCCTGCTAAGCCACGAGACAGCAAAATGCAGCCATGCATTCACCTGACTAAACCATAGACACCCCTCGGCATGCAGCTGGGACGCAGCTGGTCTCCTGACTGATGCGACCCAATTTTTACATGCTTTTTTTTTTCCATGCTTCTGTCAGAAACCTGCTTAGTCAAGCCCCATTTGAGCTAGGAGACAGTGGACCGTGAACACAGAAAGTGGTGAGAAGGGGGGGACCCACAAGAGGCCTCCCAGATGAAGCCATCAATATTCTGGAAAGACATTAGAGAAGAGGAGCTATTTTATTCCCTTTCGGTAAACCTGCCTGGCAATGCAGCCCTGCTCCAGCATGGCAAAGCAGGAATTACAGAAGCTGAACTCCCAAATCAAGCCGCCTTCCTGACACACCAGCACTGTTTCCCCTCCACTCTCCCCAAAACCTTCCCAGGCACATGATGGCGTAGCTTCCCACAAGGAAACAACAGGGGACTGCTCAAGTTTTGCGGTTGAGATTTATATATATGCTGCTAATTTAGCTTCTGCCTCCTGGCAAACCGTCAGGGTGTCGCTGGCAGGTTGTGGCTCACCTGCAAGTCAGGCAGCCACCGGCTGTGGGGAAAGGACTGTGTCCACCCAGCCACGATGCCAGGGGCCAGCTCTGTCCAGCTGTGCCCTTAGAGGTTAAAAATAAAAGCCAAGAACAAACTTCATAAAGGAAACTGTGTCAGAGACGGACGCTGAACCTGTTTTAGGCTCTGTCCTAAGCTCCCTGCCCCCTCCTTTGAGGCCAGGTTATGTATAGATCATATTAATTAACACCAAAGTGAAGCACCCAAGCCCAAATAGGGCTTGTAAACACATATGCTACTATCCTATATCTATACCAAGACATGTCAATAGGGGATCACCAATTACTTACTTCTTATAACTAGATGATTACTGTGAAAATTTACTTTGAATTGGTTCTTATCAGCTACCATGTAATAACAAGCTGTCTCTTCTGCATTTTAAGTGCTTCACAGACTGTAAAAAAAAAATACTTTCCCCAAAAAGACATTTAAATGAAACTCTGCCTGGTCTTCTTGCTGCTGGGTAGCAATTATCTACTTAATTACACAGCTCCATTCTTTGCACTCCCTATTGCAGAGAAAAGATGCTTTTCCAGATGAAACGATCCTCAAACATCTCCAAAATCAGGGCCAATGATTACCATTTCTACAGCTCCAGAATGAAAGGCATTGCAGTCTGAAAATAAGTGGTAGAAGGTCTTGCTCTATAACAAAGGAATTACAGGAGTTTAAACAAGAGCCATATTTTCTTCCTTTATGGCTTTGTATTTCTAATTTTCTGCTACAAAAAAAAAAAAAAAAAACCAAAACACAACCCTCTGTGGACCAGATATGTGTATGGCTTCTTCCCACTGATCTAAATTAGAGTTTGCACATTTGTCCAAGGGCCGTAACAGAAGAGATGTTGCTTTCTGTTCTGTAATTTCACTGTAGGCATCATCCAGGTCACAACCAATGTTGCTAGACTGAAAAGATATCCTGTGTCCGTTATTGCTTTTTCATGATGAATTCCAGGAATAAATTAACTTGTTTTATGTTTTTAATTATATTAAATCTCCACTGCAAAGATTTAGAGATTTTAAATGGGATTAAGTCTGCAAGATCCTGAGTTCCTGTAGATGACTCTACTATGGGTGCATCTCATCTTTGAAAATGAGATGTTTGACATACTTGCATATATTGGACTAATATAGGCTGATAAACAGAATGATTTTGTGAATTCTTCTCCTACGCTTATTAAAAACACAATTGTTCACATTTGAAATAATGATCTTAAGCTTAAGAGGATTAAGGCAGGGTTGTATCTTGTTCTTTGGTCAGGGCATTAGTCTAGCTATCATAATCTCTGTATGGATTAACCATGCCGACAACTGTCCTTCTTGAACAACTTGCTTAAGCGTTTTCCAAAACTCCGGAACTGAGAAAGTTGAAATTAACAGCTGTGGTTAAGTCATAAGGAAAATAATTTCAACTAAGTAAGCAGATGCTGTAATGCTATTGGCACAAAAGTAGCAGTGGACCCAATAAAACTAATCTTGAGAAAATGAGTTGCTAGCCACAAGACGCCTGGCTGCAAATACTGGCAGATGTACTTCTCATAGCAACGGTTTCAGTAACGTGACCTTTCTATTACCCAGTTTCACGCTGTGTCATTTATCTGAATTATAAGAAGGGAAGTGCTTCTATCCTCAGGACAGCTCAAAAAGGACTGATCTATCCCCTAACACATAAGAAATACTTTGTCAACCATACTGTTCATTCTTGAGGCCACCAGTCCCATTACAGGTACAGCTGGTTTGATAATAAAACATAAAACTGCCTTTGCACGTATTTTCTCACAAATACATCCTCTCCAGAGCAGTATGCTAAGATACAAGAACCTACTTCCTGCTAATCTTGATGTTAGACTACATATTTTGAGATGGTAGCGGAGTTGTAAGTAAAGTTATCTTTTTAACAGACCTGAGTCTAACATGCCAAACATCCACTTACGCCACTAACCAATCTCTCCCATACATATACCCCTCCAACAGAAAAAAAGTAATGTCACCTCCTGAAAAACAGGTTTCATGGATTATTTCTGAAGTACAGGGTAAGGCAGCAAGGAGCTAAAACCTTCCCCTGGTTTAATCTGCACTGCAGAGCTGCTTCCTTGTCACACTGGTTCTGGCAAATTCTGTAAACCAGGAGTGACTACAGCAAAACCTGTAATTTTTATCTAAAGGGCATTCATCTGCTGCTGGTATGCCATTATGTGAACAGAAGCATCTTGAGCCAACTTAGGGATCTAATTCTGTCCCAGAAGCGCAAACCTTACATTGTGGGTGACAGGAAATAAGCAGTACACTTCTACACTGAAAATGCACGAAGTGGAGGACGATGAGAGCCACCATGCTAGTGCTTCAGGAACCAGTGTCAGCCAGTCCCTGGCCTGCACCACTGGCTCTGGAGGGCTGCAGCAGGTAGCAAATTCAGTTTTTGCCTACTTCCCCATGTGTGTTTAGAATAAGATTAATTTAGGTCTCAACTAAGCAAATTAAACCAACCAGCTTCATAAAGGTTTGAACATGTATCATTACACCACCTGTCTAGGTATGGCCACCACAGACATGTTTGGCCACCTCAGAGGAGGTGCAGAGGGGAGAAGCCAGATTCATGTTTCGAGCAAACAAGTTAAAACTCCTAATTTTTGTTGCAGCAAAACCATTTTATGAATTGAAAACATCTGCTTAAGAGCACCACCAAGAGGGAAAGAGGAGGCGGCCCTGGTCATTCCCTCCCTCCTTGCAGGTCATTGAGAGCTGCCAGAGGTAGGGCAGAAGACCACTCTCCTCCTCCAGATGACCACACGCACGCAGCACAAAAGATGAAGACCTGCGTATGAGACGGGTTATCCCCACAGCTCGCTGGCAAGTACGGAAAGCCAAATACTTCTTTAACTAGGGTTGTCCAGTGTTGGTTTACTAACAGTCATTTAATCTCTGCAAAATCCATGGGTTTAAGCAGAAACGCCAAATCTCTAGAACCAATTCGTGCCTGAAAGGCAAAGCACAGCTGATACTTGGACAGTGAAAAGGTAAGCTCACTGGGCTGTGTAACTGCAGCTGAACAATAAGCTGGCTAAAGGAAGGGTTTATCGTAAGGTATCACTTGTCAAGCTCACAGCCTTGAAGGAGGCTGCTTAGCATGAAATGCTGGAGAACTGGGTGTGCAACTGCAGACTGTTCTTATCCCAGGGGTGGTATTTGCTCTCACCACAGTCACGAAGCCTCTGAGACACTGAGAGAACTGCCTTCAGTCCATGGAAAAATTACTAAAGTAGCGAGAAGGAGATAGACTGCCTTAACGTGAGTATTAACTTTGCTCTCTGCTGGTAACAAAGGAGAGAAGTTTTTGTTACTGAAAGAAATTCAAACAGAGGGAAAAAAACTGAACAGCAAACAAAAGCAACACTGGTCAGTTCATTTTGGCACACATCAGGCTGCAATTCTGCTGCCAATGTCAATGTATTACATGCTGTGTAGCTATAAATTTCAGTTGTGTTTGAATAAACACCAGCATATAGAACTGCTTTGGATCTGCCTAATGCAATCTGTCTGTAGACAGGACAGAATTGCTACATTTCTTCCTGGCCCCAAAATTAAAATCTTTAGTTGCTCTCAAAGTACACGTACCTGCAATCCCTTGTAGCAGTCCACAGACATTAAAAATGCTTTTCTTCATAATGCTCTGCACGCACATCGTAAAGACAGACACAAATGCCACGGCACAGAGAATCATGATTCCCACAGCTAGGAAAATAGCAGTTGCCTGCCAGAACCCACTGGCAATCTCATTGAAGTTTTCGGCATAAGGACCACAAAGCGTGTCTCGTCTAGAAAGCTGCAAGTGGGAGATTCTGGTGCAGCGCCCGTAGATGCCCAGCGTTGGATGATAAGGCTCCTGCGACCCCCCCGTTCTGTTGTCCACATCCTCGGAGCCTGAAGGCTTTGCTTTGCCAATCAGCCAGTCTGCGCTCATAAAAGCAATGAGCTCTGCAAAAGCCACCACAATACTCAGGAGAGTCCATAGCATTGACCGACATGTTACAATGACATGACACATATTGATGTCCAGTGCTTGTGATCAGTGCAGCTGACAGTCTTAAAATCCAGGCACGAGGGGGAAAAAATTAAATTAAGAAAGAAAAAAAAGACCCTAAGAAAATCACTGTGGCTGCTCTGCCTGCTCTTTCAGCTCTCTCACAAAGGCCAAGATGATTTTCCTCAGGAGAAGAAGTGAACAGCCACAAGTTTTGCAAGCAGTCCAGTCATTTGTTCTCTCTGTTTAGTTCCTCCTTTTTTCTTTCTGGGATGCTGAGCTCTGAAGTACGCTTTTCTTTCTTAATATTCATACTGGCACATGATGCTGCAGGCTGGTGGGGGAGGCCGCAAGGACTGCCCACTGTTTGACATCACACACCTACAAGAAAAAAGAGACAACACACCAGCAGTGAGAAAAAAGTCTTCGTATCCACCCCCACAATAAGCGAGGATCTCGTGCAGACCCACATCAACATGCAAAACCTCTAACAAGGGCCCGTCAAACAGAGCCTGCTGGAAACCTCCCGCGTTTGTCCCAGGGGAGTGATTAATCTCCTGCTGCCTGGCTGTACTTATGGTGTCTGCTCTGCCCCATCCCATTGCGGGTGTTGTCAAGCACTTTGCAAGCAAAGGTCTCAGTAACACCCAGCGGTTCCACCCACTCCTACCACCACGCCCCCATCATCTTCCTCTGGTTGAAATTACAAAGGTTTCTGGCAGTCACCCAGCAAAATGTTCGTACACGTTTAAGCAGTTTCACAGACCTGCATCTCCTGCCTGCAGTTTGGGGAGGCAGCACGGCGCGCCTTCAGCAAGGAAGCTGGGCACAGCTCCACATGCCATGGGCACCTGGGTGCAAGGGGCAACGAAGGAACTTTGTGCCAACCTTCTGGGCTTCTGCTGACTGCGGCTGAGCCAACCCTGGCCTTGAGAGTAGGTGAACAGGATTGCAGCTGGGGACAGCCCACCCTGCGATGTGGTGACACAGCCCATCCCTTCGAAGCCTGGGTGTTGCAGGAGTGGTGCTTCCCCAGGCTCTGTAACAGCTTTGCACCAGTATTTCAGAAAAGCATTCTGCCTCCAGGTATGTCACACACCTCATCTTGAACTGATGCCAACAGAGGCAGCCTTCGGTGACTTATGCCACTGTAAACAGGAATCTGCAGAAAAACACTTCAGTGACTGTCAAGTGGCCAAATCCCTGGTGAGAGGGGTTGCCAGTCAGCCTTGAGCTTCCTGACTCCTCTCAATTCCTGCCTTCCAGAGTCCTGTGTATGCTGGGACTGTAGCAAAATGTTCCCCAGGGCCTTCCCCAAGCCTTTATGCTGCCTTTCAACAGTAGCCGATGACATTCCCAGAGTTACACTTATCTTAGTATAAGAGGTAATCAGAGATCACTATACTTCCAACTCATATCCAAATATTGGCCTTAAAATACCAAACAGGTCATCACACAGGCCTCTGCGCTTGAACTGAAACTGTCACTTGAAAGCAGGGGGGGAGCAGGAAATGCCCTCACATTACCTCATCTGTGATGAGAATGTAGCACTTCCAAGTTTTCCTCACAAAAACCCAAAATACCGACATTGAACTGCAGGCAAGAGAGTTGAGAACCAGATCTGGACCTCAGTGCTGTGCTGCTGCCAAACACAAAGAGGTCAGCAGATGCCAGAAAAACAGACATCCTCAACTTTTGTTTTTAGCTTTGTCATGGGGTTGGTATTCAATTTCTTAGGAGTTTTGAGCCTAGTGGTTGAATCCTAGTCCCACTGAATGCAAAATGAAACACACACCCACAACTTTAACACATTCAGAATTTCATCCAGCAATTTCTGCTCCCTCCTATTCTAATTGTAGTGAATCATCTGCAAGATTTTATCCGCATTACTCTTCCTTGTCATCCGCAGACTCCTCTGGTACTAGCAGATACGTGGACTTAAGCTGCTATGCCAACAACTCAATTTTGTCTCCCTTAGTTCAATGTTATGGCATTGCCTTAAAAAAAGGCAAAACATATTTAGTTGTGCTTTTAGCCATACTGAGATAACAGTTCAGCTTATTTTCCATTTTTTGAGGGAAAGCATGAAGTTTTCAAGCAACCTGACATATTGATGACTTGAATACACCCTTTGTAATAACAGAGAGCTGAAGTGTCAGCCTGCCAAAGAAAGTTAATTCTCTCAGTATTTCCACTTTAAATAACAACTGGAATGTAGGAAATGTCCACTACAAACCTACATTCTTCTGATGTCATCTGCACAATTAAAGAGAATTTAATACAAAATGTCTTTATTTTTTAAGAGAAGTTCCAAAAAGCTTTAGAATCTGTATTTCTGTGCAAGCACCGCACCCATGTGAACTCTTGGTCTTTGTGATTCCAGGATTTTAATTGAGGTGCAAGGGACATAAGAGTTGAACACCCATCATAGCTGTTACTGCTTACTCTGTACCTGCTGAATATAAAATACTGTTTATTGAACACAGATGAGAACAAAGTTCATATTTACTTAAGTAGGTGGAAATTTCAGATGAACACTGGCAGCCATAAAAACATGCCACTGATAACAAATGTGGGATGCTATATTAGAATCAGAAGAAAAGACCAAACCATGGGGTTCTTTTCTATTGGAAATGCAAGTGCAAGAATAAATTGCAGTAACATTTTAAAACACTGTATCTCCAGAAAAGTCACTGCATAGGCAAAATAGCCTGTCTAAAGATGATAGGGAGGTTGTGTCAAATCTCAGGACTTCAGTGAAACATATACTTCCCCGTTTTGCAACACAGGGAAGCTTCACAGCACCTAAAGGTTAGTAAGAGTCAACAACTACAGTTCAAGAGAATATACTTTGCTTTCCAAAGAAACCTTCACAATTCGTCTTTTCCCAGGTAACAAGTACTTTATTCTGGTACAAAACATATCTCCAGAGCAACATACATTATTCATGGGAGAACTTTTGCATAAATTTATTCTTGCACTAGTGATGACCTCAAATGGGAGTGCCACTCACCTACCACTCCTTTTTGTGAGCAGACGGACAGAAACACATGAAGTAGGATGGCAAGACCAGACAAGGGGCATGGGCCACTCTCCTACAACTCTTTTTCGTGAGCAGACAGAAACATATAAAGTAAGATGGCGCATAGACCAGAGCAGGGGCAGGGACACTTCTTGTTTGTGAGACTTAGCAAGAAAATGCTGCAGATAAAGTACTGGACATAAATTACAGTTCAGTCACATTTGTGTAGTTAACCTTAAGTTTCCAAATGAACCTAACCCATACTCATGCAGCTCCAACAGCATGTTTGTGCCATACATCGAAGCCTTTCCAGATACAGACTGTGCTAAATAACTGCGTTTCATGAAGCTTCCCTCCAGCACTCTGCTCACCGCCTTTCTTCCATTTTTGCTCAATGGAAACTCAAGCTAGGCCCTTGCAAGGCTGAAAACTAGCTGTTTATTCCTCCTCTCAGTTTCCCACCCATCAACAAGTTTTTTCCATGACAGAACTGTATGTTCTTCACAGCACTCCACTCAATATCCACTTCTGACCGACTGTCAAAATATTTGCTTTGACAGCCCAAATTCAAAATATAAAATGGTTCTTTAACACTTTCGGTATTAACTCATTCAAAATAATTCTTGCTGAGGAAGCAGACTACAAAAAGTAGGCTCACCTCTTAGTTATTTGGGCCTCCCCCTATTTTTACTATTGCATTCAATTGTACAGGTGTGGAAGGAAACCATCCGTGCTGGACAAGCGGGTGCCCCAGGAGAGAAACAGCCCCCGCATGGCAAGCACCCATGTGAGCTGCACACCACGGCAGCTCCCCAGTGCAAGGGTCTCAGCAGTGCCATCCCACCCCACCATACAACCCACTGTTCTTTGGCTGGACAGCACAGCTCTTAGATGGGTAGAAACTACACCTTCAGCCTCATTTACTCTGCTCCCTGAACCACGCACATGGTCAGGCCCTGCAATAGGTGAAGTCTAACACAGTGAAAAGATGTCAGTGAGAACATCAGATCCTGATATGATCCAGGGAGAATAAAACTGAGTTCTTGAATGCAAAGATCTTCTGGTTGTTTTAATCTAACAAAACAAACCATCTTAAAATATCACTAAAACTTTCTTCCTCTTTAGATGTAATTTTGACAGCCAGATAGTCTGCCTCAGGTCATACTTTCACATCTCTAGCTAAGACTATTCAGCTGGTGCCTTTTACTACACAACATTGCTATATGCTAAGTAGCTGGTGAAGGGTCTAGAGCACAAGTCCTATGAGGAGCAGCTGAGGGAACCAGGGTTGTTTAGTCTGTAGAAAAGGAGGCTCAGGGGAGACCTTATCGCTCTCTACAACTATGTGAAAGGAGGCTGTAGCAAGGTGGGTGTCGGTCTCTTCTCCCAAGTAGCAAGTCATAGGATGAGAAGAAACGGCCTCAGGTTGTGCCAGGGGAGGTTTAGATTGGATATTAGGAAAAATTTCTTCACTGTCAGGGTTGTCAAGCATTGGAACAGGCTGCCCAGGGAAGTGCTTGAGTCACCATCCCTGGAGGTATTTATAAGACTTGTAGACGTGGTGCTTAGGGATGTGGTTTAATGGTGGACTTGGCAGTGCTAGCTTAATGGTTGGACTTGATGATCTTAAAGGTCTTTTCCAACCTAAACTATTCTATGATTCTATGTAAATAAATAACATCTATTTTTTTCAACTAGATAAAGAAACACACTTGCCTCCATTTTGCTTACACTGCCAAACCCAGAAAGTCAGAAGCTGGTCCAGATTATAATACTTGAATTAAGGTTTTGATTTTAGAGATGTTGAGCTGCAGGGTTTTTCTTTGGCATACCAAGCAGATAGGAAGGAACAGCTGCAAAGTTCAAATCTGCGTCAATCACATACCACGGCTGTTTATTTTAAAAAGGTGTCCTACAAGCAACGTACAAGAGACCCGCAAGTACCTTCCAGAACAATGTTATGGCCAGTCCTTCTTGCTCCCTTTATGGTTTGACCAAAGACAGGGCTCAGACTAACCCCTACAATTCAGCTTTCACCCTTCCCAGCCTGGTTCTGTCAGCTCAAGTGTGATAATAAATCATCTTTAGATAAGTGGCTTTTGGCTTGGCTTAAACAAACAACTGAATGGAAGGCCACACAGACT